AGAAGCGTTTCAGTTTCCTCAACAGAAGGGGACGGAACAACGATCTTTGCCGTCATTACCACTAACTTGGTTTCCATCAACTCAACGGGTGTGGGTTATACAAGCAATTGGTTCTCGTCCTTTGACGCAGTGGTCAGAAATGCCGGACCATGGAATCAGTCGGGTAGTTTCTCAAATTATTTCAATCCCCGGGAGCAGTGGTTGTTGGGCTGTCTGCAGATTTGACCTATCGCCATTGAAACGTTTTACTTTCTATGTAATTTTGTGACATGATTTCACAGCTCGTTTTAATATGCACAACAAGTAACAACAGAACACAAACTCTGTTCGTAACTACACACATGTTATAATAATAATAATGTGTATATTTCACGGAGACCCGTGAGCATGCAGAGGCATGATCAAATGTACAGCATAACCATCCATATATGAGAAGCCGAAGAGGAAAACTTTGAAGGTCGCATTGAGCATAATTACAAATGGAACACAAAGTGGGCAAGATATCAGAGAAAAAGGTTTGAGATGGCGGAATGCTCCAAAAGAGCAAGTCAGTTGAAGTAGGACGAAAAACAAGAATCGTTATACCGGATGAATGATGAGATAATTGGAAATACGACAATCAGTGAGTAAAATAACAAGAGGTAGCCTGCAGATCGTTGGACGGGAATGGACAGAAGTGGGGGTCACTGAGAGTGTGCAGGATGGGAAAGCAGCCCAGTCATTGGAGGATTTAATTGTATCTTACTTCATGTTTTTCAGTTATACTCCAAATAAATTCACCACTGGATATCGTGCCAATCTAACGGAAGACGCCCTTTTTTCTTACAGCGGCAGATCTCTGGAAAGGAAGACAGAAACGCAAAACAGTCTAGGTTTTCACCTAGCTGATGAGGGAGTGGGAGGGAAGGAAGCATGCAAGTTATCGTGCAATTTAATCCAAGAAGTTCCGGGCAGTCAAGTAGACGAGTACTACCTGGTATCTTTAAAAGAGTTACCAAATATTGCCATTAGACAGACTATGCAATGGCAAAAAAGGCGAACTGATTTATCACTACGGCATAAAAACAGATTTGGGCATGTAAAATACGTATTCACCAGAAGAACATCCATTCCACTGATCAGCCATGTACATTGACCAGTGTACTGGATCTAGAATGGGTGTAAATGTGAACACTGCTGCCTTGTCAGCATGTGCCATGGGAGTGGGTGGGATAAGAAGAAATGCGAATTGATGATAGAGAGTAGATTTTCAGAATTATGGGTGACTAAACCTAGTGTAGGTTTTCACCAGAAGAATATCTATTCCACTGATCAGCTATGTACGTTGACCAGTGTACTGGATCTAGAATGGCTGTAAAGGTAAACACTGCTGCTTTGTCAGCATGTGTCACGGGAGTGGGTGGGATGAAAAAAAATTGCAAACCTATGACAGAGTTGAGATGTTCTCCGAGTGTTGCTGAAGCATTACGCGTACATTATCAGTTATCGTCAAGGGGTCCGTTAACTGTCTCAGCCAACCATTTCAGGAATACTGCACACTATCAACCGGAGCCACACATCCGAAGAACAGGGTCACTCAACCAGCAGGACAATCCTTCTGCGAGTCCGTTAAATGTAACATTTATTTCATTATTACTCATATATGTAGTATCTTTTCCACTACATATTTGGTGAGCCCGTGTCTAGATTATCTCTAATTTCATATTTATCAACGTTACCCCGGGTTTTTCAGGACTTTTACTTCATTTTTGCCTACTGTCTGTTAAACATGGAGCAATCAACACTCGACATAAAGGACCTTCCCATGTCTTCCCACATTAAATTGCCCGCATTTGGTAATAACAACCCCGGTTATGGTTCGCCCAAGCCGAAGTCCATTTCCGTGCCCACCGTCTCCGCTCTTAAACGAATATGTGTTCCTAAATAGTCGATTTCCTGCCTACATACATTGCGGAAAAGGTGTTGGAGTTTATCATCACCATGCCCGAGAATGACTCACACTGAGGTAAAGGAGGCGTTGATCACCAGCACAAATGCAATGCAGCATCCTCCCCAGTCGTCTATTATTCATCCAAGACCAAAACATTAATTATTTTATCGACACCGGTGCTGAACTGAGCGTGATTCCCCGTACGGCACACCTTCAACCAACCGCTGTCACCCTAGAAGTAGCCAACGGTAGTCGCACTCACACCTACGGCCGTCTCTCCATCACCGTTCATCTTGGTTTAAGATGACAAGTCGGATGGATATTCACAATTGCTGATGTCCACACTTATCATTGGTGTAGATCTTTTTGTCTACCTTCGGTCTCGTTATTGATGTCAAGCAACGAAAACCACTCGACAACGCCTCCTCACTATCTGTCAGTGCTCGTTCAAC